AAAGTTAATAATTACTTGTAAATAAAAAAAAATTTGTTTATACTTTAACTTAAATATAGGATCTGTTTGATTTTGGGCCCATTCTAAATAACCTTCAACAAAAAGATTTTCTTCAGAAATGACATATGGCCACATTAATTTGGAAGCCATTGCATGTTTATATATATTGCACACTGAATCCCATGCCTTATGATGATCAGAATATTTTTTAAAAAATTGAAGTTGATTTTCATTCTGATACCTTTGACATTGTACAAAATCTCTAATATCGATATTCCAATTTAATTTGACAAATAACTTTAACATGTTTATCTCTTCGTGAAGAACACCCAGAATTAATATAAGTTAAAGATAATCCTTTTTTATTTTCTGTATGTGATGATATGGTACTCCATCACAGGTGACTACAAACTATTTATGGCTACTATCTTTAATTCCAGAAATTTCTTTAATATGTTCAAGAACCTTTCGAATATTAGTAATCGAGTTTGGATTAATTCCTATTGGATCAGGAACAAATAGTTGTGGTCTATAAATCTCACTTTCTGGAACTAATTGTGCTTCTTCAAATATATAAGGATTAATATTTATGGATTTTTTGGTTATATTTGTAATATTAGATGGCTCATCAAATTGCTTATTTATTTCAGAAATTGTTGGTAACTTATTATGGTATGCTGAGTAGACCCACTTCTTATTATCAATGTTAGAAGTTTGACAAATTGAATATTTTTTCATATACCTGGTCTGGCTTTAATAATGCATCAATTCATCAATCATATTTTTTTCTTGATTTTTCTCGATGCGAAGTTCTCTTAAAATAATAGCAAAATAATTAGTAAGTTCTTCATGAATTTCGTTTTTCATACCTGAACTTAAATCAAACAACTTTTCATATTGTTTTTTACTAGGCTCAAAATGTAACCAAGGATCTGTATCTTGTATATCATTACTTTGATCATAATGAAAAGTGACGAAACTTGTAACAGTATGAAATACAACCATATTATATTCACGGTATAAATAATTTTTTTACTCCTTTTGTTCATTATCGAAAGCCAAAAATAATAGACCTTTGGGAAGAAATGATTATTCCACAGCTAAACTTACTAACCAATTGATAAACTTTTTATAGCAACCAGAACTGATGATATGATTATTAATGTCAACAATCATTTTTGATCTTGCCAATAAATATTTAACTGTTGAACAGCTAAATTAATAGCAGATACATATTTTAAGTACCATGATCCATATATAGCATCGATACCTACTGCACGTTTAAAAATTTTTTCTCCTTCATTTTATGTTTGTTTTCATTATTGATAAGAGTCTCAATAAATTTTACAATGACCAGATTTTATTCCGCAAGCTATTTGGAAGGAGAATATTTCAAAAGACTACTTAAACTAAATCACTCAGGATTTTTTATTAAATTTGATATATCTTCAAATAAGTTACTTCGTTCCTTTTTAGTGATTTCTATTATTGATTTAATACGATCTTGTTGATCAGTAAATCGCTCGTCTAATCTTCTTTTTAATATTTCATTTTTTAGATAACAATTGTATATTGAGATATTCCAATTCTTTAGTTTTTTTCAAAAGTATTTCATATGCTGGATCCGGTAAAGATACTTGGATCCCAAAATCAACAGAAGTTTTTTCAAACGGATCTAAATTAAAAACTTGAAATTCATTATCGTTAGTAAAAATTTTTAATTTTTTTCGATTATTTTTATTTAAATCTAAAAAAATTAAATTATCAGTTTTTGTTAATTATTTAATAAAAGAACTTTTAGCAACAATATTATTATAGTACTTTTCGCATAAAGAATAATTCTCCAAAGAGTCAAGTAATAAAGTTAATTCAGGAAAATACTTGGCTATCTTTGTTAATTTTTTTACTGCTGCATCAGCTGAAGCGTGTCGTCATTTTTGTTTCTTTTCAGTCTTGCATATTTTTAACTGGTCTACTAATTGGCTATTTGGATAATTTTTAGCAAGAAAAACAATGATACAAGATTTATTTTTGACCTTTAGTTTTGAACTCATTATGATTTTTAAAGGTTATTTGTGAAAAAAATAATTTATAAGGTCTCAGGGATCCTCGTGAATTCTGAAACTATATATACGAAAATATATATTTTAATAATAGTTTCGAAGCGCTGATCAATAAAAAATGTCTTGTTCAAAAAATTATCAACCGCCAATCAATTTTCAAGGTATATTGTAGATCATTCTAGAATTGATCTGCAAATTTGCAAATATCCGACTGTATTTACATATAAAAAGTGGGGCAAATTTTTATTATGGTTTGAAATCAAACTATATTGTTTTATTGAATAACTTATCCCCAAATTTTATTATAAAAAAAGTGCCGATCTTAAATGGATTGACATTTAATTTTATCATTCACCTTTTCGAGAGATTATAAGCATCTTTCTGCTTCAGGTTCTAATGTGGTCCAGTTTTCCAAAGGAGATGAAAACTTTGTATTCAGCTCTGATAACTCCTCTTCTGACATAAAGGTCGTGATCGTTGGATCGGATAAATCAATAATTCTCCACCAGATTGAACTAAAAAAATTTGTTAGAACCTGGAAACTACAAATAACAAACAAATCAATGTTTATCAAACACTTACTTTAATGATAACTCATATTGAGTTTTTTTATCACAATTAAAAGCACTAGAAATCAACGATTGATGCTCCTGTACTATTCTGTCCATTCAACTTGGTTTCGGTGTATTAAATTCCCATTCAATTAAGGGTTCTTCAAAATTCAATTCCTATACATACATCCACAAAATTTACATAAGAATTTATTTTTCCTAAACATCGATGTAAATATAATCACCTCAATTAAATCCTCAAGTTCATCATCCATACGTTGACGTTTGTACATCCGATCTTCTTGGTCTTCTACATTTAGCGATCTAGTGGTTTTCTCATATACAAAGTGCTCCTGTCTATCGTCTCGTAACTGATCAATAAGCTGTTGACTTTTTTACTAGTCCTAAAAAATTTTTGGTAAGTTTACTGGTCCATTGTAAAAGTTAGTCTCAAATTTTTATAAATCTTACCTTTAAAACAATAGCGATATAAGTTGATGTTACGTTTATTCTTGCTTCTTCACGAAATTCTAAATCCTTTATAAATTGCTTCACTTCAGCAGTGTTGAATGTTAAATCAAAATTTGATAAAATTTTTGTTACCTTGTTTTTGGTATATACGTGAATATTGGCTTTGTCTCTATAGCTCTATAGTATTGCATATAGATCTTTCTTGAGATCATCAATTGTGAGTACGGATAATTTTGAGTTCGATCGTGAAAATTCTAGGATTTCAAGGATTGACCAATCTTTACTTTTTATTTTATCAAGATATTCTGTTATGGTGGATTCAAATATCTAAAAATAATTAACGTATTTATTAGTTGTTTATCCGTTTTAAATAAAAGAAATATGGTAACGTTTGCAGTCAACTGTATACTGGAAAACAGCATGCTAGAGCCTATGCCTTAAACACGTATGCCTAAAGGTTGTCCAGCAAACTGCCTCCAAACATCTGAACGCAGGAAGATATGCCTAACAACAGTAGGTATAGTGAACGTATCCTGGAAAACAACATGCTGAAGCATGTGCCTTAAACACGTATGCCTAGAGGTTGTCCAGTAAACTGCCTCCAAACATCTGAACGCAGGAAGATATGCCTAATGACAGTAGGGAGACGCGTGACTGTAAACCTTATCAGAGAGTTCAAAGAGCTACGAAATAACCTTATTTTTTTTATGTTATACTTGAAAGATCCTATTCTGTGATAGTGTACTTGTTCAGAAAAATTAATTTGTAAATAAGATTGTTGTATATAATTCACGTTACAATATTTGAATGATTTACAAAATTTCAATGACAGCCCATCGTCAAAAATACTTACCGATGTTATAGGTGTTATTGTTAACATCCATTTAACGGTTCTTTTAAGGAGTTTATAGTCCTTCCCCATAGGTACAAGACTTTCAGTTTGGTTGTTCCTTGAATTTTAGAAGGCACCAGTTAGTTTTTAGATAGAACTAACAAACTAATATTCATCCACTATAATCATAATACATCCATTTTAATATTATATTTCTTAACTTCCAAACTTCCTTAACATTATATATTCATAGTTTCCTCATAACATCCTTATTAATTTATCTCCACAATTTCATTATAACATCCTTATTAATTTATCTTCATAATTTTATCATAACATCCTTAAATATATCTTCCTAACTTCC